TGCCCGGCACCTCCCGCTGCAGCCGCTGGGAGCTCTTCTTCTGCCACACGTTGTACTTGGAGTACTTGGCGTGCGAGGGCTTCTGGAAGCTCTCCTGCAAGAAGAGGAGGGAGTGATGTCAGCCTCGTCGCCAACTTGACCGCCCTCCAGAATGGGGTTCCCCACTTTGAGCTCCAGCCATCCCATAGAAGCATTCTCCCATCCCATGCAACATTGTCCTATCCAAAGGAAACATTGTCCTGTCCCATGGAACATTGTCCCATCCCATGCAACATTGTCCTATCCAAAGGAAACATTGTCCTGTCCCATGGAACATTGTCCCATCCCATGCAACATTGTCCTATCCAAAGGAAACATTGTCCTGTCCCATGGAACATTGTCCCATCCCATGCAACATTGTCCTATCCAAAGGAAACATTGTCCTGTCCCATGGAACATTGTCCCATCCCATGCAACATTGTCCTATCCAAAGGAAACATTGTCCTGTCCCATGGAACATTGTCCCATCCCATGCAACATTGTCCTATCCAAAGGAAACATTGTCCTGTCCCATGGAACATTGTCCCATCCCATGCAACATTGTCCTATCCAAAGGAAACATTGTCCTGTCCCATGGAACATTGTCCCATCCCATGCAACATTGTCCTATCCAAAGGAAACATTGTCCTGTCCCATGGAACATTGTCCCATCCCATGCAACATTGTCCTATCCAAAGGAAACATTGTCCTGTCCCATGGAACATTGTCCCATCCCATGCCCCATCTCATTGTCCATGAGGCTGGTGAGAGCCTGGCCCAGGTTGCCCAGAGAGGTGGTAGAAGCCCCATCCCTGGAACCATTCCACCCCAGGTTGGAGTAGAGCTCTGAGCAATCTGCTCGAGTTGAAGATGGCCCTTCTCCCTGAAGGGGGGTTGGAACTAGGTGACCTTTAAAGGTCACAGAATCCCAAAATGGTGAGGGTTGGAAGGGACCTCTGGAAAACATCCCAGTCAACCCCCCTGCTCCAGCAGGGTCACCCACAGCAGGGTGCCCAGGATGGGACTCAGGAAAGTTTAGAGTCTCTCCAGATAAAAAGACTCTACAACCTCTCTGGGCGGCCTGCTCCAGGCTCTGCAACCCTCAAAGAAATTTTTCCTTATGTTTAGGTAGAACTTCCTGTGTTCCAGTTGGTGCCCATTACCCCTTGTCCTATCACTGGGCACCTCTGGAAGGAGATTGACCCAAACCAACCCCTTCCAACCCAAAGCATTCTATGATCCTATGACCTCTGTTCCCCCACCTTATTAAAAGCTGACTTTCTGCGGGGTGTTTGAGTTGCCAACAGTGGCCACCTGTCAAAGGCTCTGCAGAAGCAACAGACCTTGCAGCTGGGGTTCATCCTTTCCCACCCAAAGCCTTCCCAGCTCTCTCTCTGGCTGTTGCCACCATCCCAGCACAGCCCCTTACCTTGCTGAGCGCCGGCAGGCCCACCAAGGAGGTGGCGGAGAGGTCACGCTCGGACTTGACGGACTTGGCGCAGTAGGTTTCCAGCAGAGCCAGGTCGCAGCTCCGAAAGCAGCACTCCTCCACGATCCCCCGGTTGATCCGACGGTTATTTCGGCCCACCGGTCTACCTGCAACAGCAGAGACCCCTCAGGTCAGCCACCCACCTGGGCTGGACTCCAGGCGTCCCACCACGAGCCGCTGGAAAGCAGTTGGCCCCCGTATGCCCCCAAACCAGCAGCGCTTCCCCCAGCCCAGTCATCACTAGGTGACTTTCCCAGTTGGCTGTTGATGCCAAGAGGGTGAACGATGCCGATGGAAGGTGCTTTATGGGGCCGTGCTGGATGCCCCTCCTACACCTCCAGCTTTTTTGGGTGGAAGCTCAAGCAGCTGCCTCCCGTGTTGATCCTGGCAAGTGAGTTTTAGGAGAAAGAAGCCGCGTCGAGGCTGCCAACCCCCCTCCGCCAGGCCGACGCTCAGGCAGGTGAAGCAAACCCAAGGCAGCTAAATTCTACCAGATGGGACAGCTCCGAGACAGCTGGAGAGAGGATACAGGCTCCTGCACCCGCCAAGAATAGCTATTAAAGTTAATCTTTTAATAAGAGATCCTCTCCTGTTTCTGCCTGCAGAAGGATGCAAAAGCCCGTGGTCGGTGCAGCAACAGCCGAGTGAGTTTTGTATCACTGGCCAAAACGCTCGGGAGGAAGAGCTTCCATCAGTTTGACTGCTTCACCTCCCCCTCTTGAAATTAGAGATGGACCAATGGAATTTTCTGAGGCAAAACAAATTTGGTTGGGAATGGCGACTTCCAAACCGTGGAAGGATTTTCTCTGTGCTTTTACAAGCACCGTGTGGGACCACGTCCCGACCAGGAGAACTTGGGCATGGAAAAGTTGAGAGGAAGTGATGGGCGTGTGATGCCTACACTGCTCAACGTGCCATGTTGAGCCCCCACCTCCCAGCTGGCCTGCTGGAAAACACAACATGGTCCACCTTGGACTTGTGCATGATTCGTGATCTTCCCTCACTGCTCTCCAGATGAAGCAGGCACTCAAGGACTTGGCCTTGGTGAAGATTTAATGGTCCTGGCTTGTGAGGTGCTGGCCAATTTCCCCAGAGGGTAGCCCGTCTGGATGCTCACCCAAAGTGCCTCAGGACCACAGCACAAAGCACACAAGTTCTCTGAGCATGGACTGCAACCCTACATGTGAAGAGCAGCCCCAGCTCCAAGAGATTCAAGGTCATGGACCTCTTGGAGGAGACCATATAAATGATCTGAGGGTAGAACCCCTCTGCTGTGGGGACAGGCTGGGAGAGTTGGGGTTGCTCAGCCTGGAGAAGAGAAATCTCCAGGCAGACATTATTGTGGACTTTTATTGAAAGATGTGACAGACTTTTTAGCAGGACCTGTTGTGACAGGACCTGGGAGATTGAGACTAGAGAGAAGGAAGAAACTTTTTACAGAGGTTGGTGAGCCCCTGGCCCAGGTTGCCCAGAGAGGTGGTTGATGTCCCATCCCTGCAACCATTCCAGGTGAGGTTGGATGGAGCTCTGAGCAACCTGCTCTAGTTGCAGATGTCCCTGCTCCCTGCAGGGGGGTTGGACTAGATGGCTTTTAAAGGTCCTTTCCCACCCAAACCATGACACATGGGATGCAAACACTCATGTTCAAAGCAGCCCCATGTGTGCAACGCTGACACTCAAACCCCACACCCATCCCTCACCACGGGCTCTGCAGGAGTGAAGCCCCTGGCAGCAGGACACCACAGTAATTCCAAATGATTTTCCACATCCTGCACCACCACCCTCCTTTTCTGTCACTTCTTCTCTAGAAGAATGCCAGGCACGACCTCTAGTCAGCTTTGCAGGAAGGTGAGAAGGATGGTTTCTTGTTGGTGAAGGCTCAGCCAAGGGAGCATTGTGAGGAGTTTAATTTTCTTCCTATAAATGTCTGTGGCTGAATTGGGACCTCCCTTTAAAGGCAGGGCAGGTGTGTTGGGTGCCCAAAACCAACCAAGCGATGCCAGTCCTGGCAACCCCAGGGAGATGGGGAAGAGGCATCAGCTTGAGGCCACGTGTGTGTCTTCTTCATAGGCACAGGATGCCCAACAAGGTCCGTGGGAGATCATCAACATCCCACACCCCGTGTGGCCCCCGCTCAGCACCTTCCAACCCCACATGTACAGCAGGTTGCTGGAGCACCAGGCTGCTCCAGAAAGGCACCATGAGCATGGGCAGAAGAAGAGTTTGGAAGGGAAAAGAGTAAAAATTCAAGTCACCTCCTCTTGCTAGCACATCCCCAGAGGGCTGCGTTCACACTCCCGCTGAACAGAAGGTTGCACAAGTGACGCCACGCACGGTTTGGGGAGAAGTTGAGGTTTTGAAAGGTTACACGTCTCCTCTCAAAAACAGAAGCTGCCCGCTTGCAGCTCTGGGTTTGTTTGGAAAGAAGAGGGGGGAGGAAGAAGCCAACATGCAAAGCAGGAGCGTTTTCACCACCTTGCCACCGAGGATGCTTTCTGGCACCAGACAGGTGGTGGAGGCCCCATCCCTGGGGACATTCAAGATCAGGCTGGATGAAGCTTTGAGTAGCTTGATCTAGTTGGAGATGTCCTTGCTTATTGTGGAGGGGTTGGACTAGATGACCTTTGGAGGTCCCTTCCAGCCCAGACATTCTATGATCCTATGAAGGTCCCAGCAGGATGTGTTGGTAGATGCCCAGATGTGGCACCAGCAGAGTGAGCTCCTGGCAGGGGACACCATGGTGGCACAGCCCCTTCGTCCTCCCTTGCTGCCCCTGCCCGTCCCTGGATGGTGGGCACACACGTGGCCCCTAACCCCGATGTTCTACCCCCTTCTCTCTTCCAGAAAACTGCTGACTGCTGCTCCTGTTGCCCTTGCTGGTGGCACTGCCAACTCCGCTGCCACGGTCCCGTAGGGCACACCTCCCATTACATAATTGTCCGTAGGGACCTCGCCAAATCCTGACACAATCCTTGCTGGGAGAGTTCCTTTAAAATTAACTAAATAAATAAATAAAAGAGGCAAACATAACAAACAAGGTTTTTGTCCCAGAAAGCACCTGGAGACGACACCCCGGGGGACAGAATGCCAGGACATCGATGGTTCCAACCAGGCTGCTGACCTGGATTGGGAAAAGCGCCTGTTCCGTAGCGTGATTTACGCACAGACTAAAGGTTGGATTCCCTGGCCTTGGCCCAGGGGTGACATCTCGCTTCGCCACCTCTGCCAAACCCACGGAGGGTTTCTCATCCCTCGCCCGCCGGGCAGAGCTGCGCGGGGCACGGGAGCTGCTTCCCATCACCTCCTCCTGAGGGAAACTCTTCCTCTCCGCCTTCAGCGAACGGCTCCGCTCTTCTTCCCCAAATTCTGCTCCACCAAAACTCCTTCCCGGCTCTGCTGAGTGCCACAGCTTGGCGATGCAAAGACCTCTGACTCACCCCCAGGGTTATTCCCACCCAGCAGTGGGAACTGGACATCCCAGTGGTGGTGAAGAGCCAAGCTGGTTGCCAGGAGAATGCGGAGGTCGCGTACCTGCAACTCCACTCCACCTCTGTGCCATAGGTGGTGCCACCACCACGGAGGGGACATCCCTTCTCTGCCATCCCCACCATTCCAAGCTCCCCACCCTCCCCAGGGCCGGGATGGACTCCACGGGGCACGCCTGTGCCGGTGCCACCCTGGCCGGGTCCCCTCTCCTCCGGTCAATCAGGCGACAAGCCGAGTGGAAGGGGACTTTGGGTGTAAACAGTCCCCTCGCCCCTGTCGCAGGAATGTCGGGAGCAACAAGGGGGCCTTTGTGCTGCACCGGGCCCCGTCCCAGTGCCCCCAGCCTGGCCCTCCCCCACCCCAGCACTGCACTTGCCCCCCTGCTTTTTCCTAGTATTATTCGGAGGAGCGGCGGGCGCGCAAGAATGTGCCCCGTCAGCACAAGCGGCTGCAAAGAGCTAAATTCTTATCAGCTGTTGGAAAGGAGGAAACAGGAGCTGTTGTTTACAGAGAAGTCGGACGCCTCTCCCCCTGCAGCCCCTTCTCCCCACCCTCGCCAACGTTGCATGACAGCAGCACGGAGGCTGGGGCTTCGTGGTGACCAGAGATGCTTTTTTTCCCTCTTGGCATCCTCGCACGGGGTGTAGGTGGGGAGTGGGGAGAGGAAGGGCTCCAAACTTGCCACGGAACCACAGCGAGGTGTCACCACCTTGCTGGCACCTGCTAAAAGCCTTGAAAGTCCCAGAGGGAAGGAATCACAGAGGGCAAAGCAGGCACAGCTCCAGCTGCAGCTTGGGATGTGGGGAGGGGGATCCTAACCCTTGACACGTGGTGGGCATCACCTGTGGGACAGGGCCACCCAAGTCATTTGCCTCTCATATGAATGACTACGTTAGGGTAGGCTGCTCATCAGGTCACACTTCAAGTGCTCATGACAAGCCATGAGGATTCAGGAGTGAAGATGATCAGGATCAGGAGAATTAATCACTTTATGAAACCCACTGATGGAGATAGAGGGGAAAAATGAGGTGAGGTGGGGATGTCCAAACCGTTCATCAAGTAGAACCATCACCCAAACATCTTCAGTATAGGCTGGTCAGCTCCCAGGAGATTAAGATACAGGGCTGGGAGGGACTTGGCTTCATCCCTGAGCACCTGGGCTCTCCAGAAATATTAAAAAAAAAAAAAGAAGAAGGGGGGGATGGGAGAGGAAGGGAAAAAAAAATAAATAATCCAGAATCTCCTTGCAAGCACCAGAGTGGCCACTTGGCACCAAGCAACTTGTCTGCCTTCAAAAGTGTTCTTATTTTGGCCTGTGAGGCTGGGTTATTTGAGGTGAAAGGAGGTCAGTTTGTCCATAAAACAAAAGCCCCATTCCCTTTCATCCCCAGAGAGGGGGAGGAGGGAAGAGAAACCACGGGAGGGAGACGGATGCTCCTCTATATATAGAGGGAGAGGAAGAGGTGTGAGAGTGGGAGAGGAGCTCGTCTCCTCGCCGGGCTGCTAAAGGCCAGCTCTGGACTTGGCACCTTGGCTCAGCTCGTGGATGGAGGAAAGGTGGAGGAAGATGAAGAGGAAGGGCAGCTGACAAACCAACCCTTGCTCCTCGGGGAGAGGAAGGAAGCGTGCCCAGGGCATCCCCAAAAGTCAGGGCCAGGAAAACACAGAACCATAGACTGGTTTGGGTGGGAAGGGACCTTTCAAGGTCATCTAGTCCAACCCCCCTGCAGGGAGCAGGGACATCTGCAACTAGAGCAGGTTGCTCAGAGCCCCATCCAACCTCACCTGGAATGGTTCCAGGGATGGGGCAGTGACCACCTCTCTGGGCAACCTGGGCCAGGGGCTCACCACCCTCACCATGAAGTTTCTTCCTTCTCTCTAGTCTCAGTCTCCCTCTTTTAGTTACAAACCATCACCCCTTGACCTGCTGCAACAGACCCTGCTAAGAAGTCTGTCCCATCTTTCTGATAAGTTCCCTTCAGGTACTGAAAGGCCACAAGAAGGTGTCCCCAGAGCCTTCTCTCCTCATCCTGCTGCTCAGCTGGGACAGGGCAGGGGGACTGTCCCCAGCGAAGCCACCTGCAGCCCAACTGCCTGCCCAAAATCACACAGCCTGAGCTCTGGCTGCTGCTGGAGGTGAGATCCCCACAATTCTCCCTGCCCAGCCTCAGCAGGCAGTGGCAACCACAGCTGGCTGAGCATCAGGGTTGGGAAGGGACATGTAGGGTCATCTCCTAACTTTGCCATGCCCCGTTCCCTGCACAGGCAGACAAGAGGGAGGCTGGCTTTCCAGTCCACTGCTCCAAAAAAACACCCTGCTACTTGAAAGTGACTTTTAAATTCCCTTTCCTAAGGCAGAGGCAAGACTGCCAAGTGCTCAGCACCACGTGCAGCAGGTATCTCCACCCTCTTCTCCTGTTTGAACTCTGCAGTTCAGTCCTGAACACAGGATCTTCCCTCTCTCAAGCAGAGGAGACTGAAACACCAGAAGGCACCACACTTGAGGCACCTTCATCCATAGATTCCTCAGCATCCATCACCACTGGTCTACTCCTCCTCTTCCCCACATGCCAGCTGAGCTGGTGTCGTGCTGATGCCAAGGTTCCAAACCCCTGAAGCATCCTGGTGGAACACCAGCTCCAGCCAACTGTCCTGAAGCCACCTGCACTCTGTGGACAACAGCAACGTTGCATTTTCTTTGCACCAGCTGCACTGCCAAAGGTCAACACTTTGCTCTTCAGGGACAGGTTCACCAGCAGGTAGCCAGGAGGCCACGAAGTGTATTTTGGGAGCAGCCTAGAAGCTGCTGCTGTACCCAAGAAGGGCCTGCACAGAAAAGGGAGCTCAGCATCCTGTCAGGATGCAGCACTTAGCCAGCAAGGTGTAAAAAGAAGCCAAGGCCCAAGCTCAGCAGAGAGCTGGCTGCAGACATCCTCCTCATTTTAATGACTTATCCTCATCACTAGTGAACCAACCACCTATGGCTCCCCACCAATATATGACTCCTCTGAGCATCAAATCATAGAATTAGAGAATATTTTGGGTGAGAAGGGACCTTTAAAGGTCATCTAGCCCAACCCACCTGCAGGGAGCAGGGACACCCCCAGCTAGAGCAGGTTACTCAGAGCTCCATCCAACCTCACCTGGAATGGTTCCAGGGATGGGGCAGCAACCACCTCTCTGGGCAACCTGGGCCAGGGGCTCAACACCCTCAGCATCAAAAATGTTTTCCTTCTGTGTAGCCTAAATCTTCCTCTTTTAGTTTAAACCCATCCCCCCTCATCCTGTCACAACAGGTCCTGCTAAAAAGTTTGTCCCCATCTTTCCCACAGGTCCCCTTTAGGAACTGAAAGGTCGCAAGAAGATCTCCTTGAAGCCTCTCTCCTCCAGGCTGCACAACCCCAGCTCACTCAGCCTCTCCTCACAGCAGAGGGCTTCCAGCCCTCAGATGATCATCGTGACCTCCTCCAAACCTTCTCCAGGAGATCCACACCTTCCCCGTGCTGAGAAACACAGCACCCAACTCCCCAACGGCGACCATCCGACCCTTCCAAACCGCCGCGAGACGGGGTCCACATCTCCCCCCGGGGTGGGCGAGGGGCAGCATCCTGCTCGGTGCCCAGCACTTACTGAAGTAGAAGCCCCTGTCCCCGCAGACGAACTGCAGCGTGTCCACCAGCTCCCCACCACAGAGGGTCTCCGCCGTGCCGTACGCCGCCGCCGAATCCAGGGCATAGGCCAGGAAAGCCAGGAGCAGGAGCAGCAGCCGCCTGGCCGCGCACATCCTCTGCACCTAGGGACAGAGGGACAGGGGGACAGGGTTAGAGCCGAGCCAGGGACCCCCCTCGTTGTCCCCTCCCACCCACAGATGCTGCAGGGAAGGGACCTGCCCTCCCCGCGCTCGCTCCGCTCGGACCGAGTTTGCCTTGAAGGAGTTTTTCCATTGGGAAAATCCCACTTCATCCTCCTTTGAAAAGCTTTTTTCCCCATGCTCTTTCAACTGCCTGATTTGTTTTATTTCCCCCTCCCCCCCCTTTTTTTTTTTGGCATCCTCCAAATGATTATCAGGAGGTATTTTGGGGGTGGATTCATTTCTGATGGTGGGTTTTTTCTGCCCTACCCAAAAACACGTTCCCGAAATGCAGAAAGCAATGAAATCTCAGCCTGCCCCAGAGCTGCTGGAGAGGAAAGCAGGGTTGTACCACAGAGCCTTTGCTCTCACGTGCCCAGGGACTCTTGTGGCCAAGGCTCGGGCAATCCAGAGGCTGATTGCACTAGCCCTGTTTGCTGGTGAGAGTTGGGACCAAGAAGCCATCCCTCAGGAGCAGTGCTCCCGTGGAAAACATCCCTGAGGCATCACCAAGGAGGACCAAGGGGGCACCACCAAGGAGGGCCAAGGGGGCAC